ACCCCGGATCCCTCTCCGGTCCCGAGCCGGGAGGGACCCGCACCCCGAGCTAGCTGCACCCCGAGCCGGGAGGGACCCGCATTCCGCTCCGCTCCCGAGCCGGTAAGGAGCTGCATCCCGCTCCGCTCCTGAACCGGGATGTACCTGCATCCCACATCACACTCCACTCCTGAACCGGGAGGGACCCGCATCCCGACACGGTCCTGAACCTGGAGGGACCTGTATCCCGAACCGGGAGGGACCCGCATCGCGCTCGTCCTGAACCGGGAGGGGCCCGCATCATCCCGCTCCGAACCCGATCCGGGAGGGACCTGCATCCCGAACCGGCTGCACCCAAACCGGGAGGGACCGACATCCTGCTCTGGTCCCAAACTGGGAAGGACCCGCATCCCTCTCTGGTCCTGAACAGGGAAGGATCTGCATCCCGAACTGACTGCACCCTGCATCAGGAGGAATCTGCACCCCAATGCAGCTGCAAGCAAATACAGAGGGACCCATGCCCTGAACTAGCTGTGCACCCCAGTCCAGCTGTGCCTGAACGGGGAGGGACCTGTGCCCCAAACTAGTGGTGTGCCTTGACATGGCGGGGCACCCTTCTCCAGCTGCCCCCAGAGACAGGAGGGACTTGCACCTCAGACCAGCCATGCACCCCAAACCGACTGCACCCTGAACCAGCCATGCCCCCCCAAATGGCTGCACCCTGAACCAGGAGGGACCTGCACCCCGAACTAGCTGTGTGCCCCAAACTTGTTGTACCCTGATCCTACTGCGCCCTAACCGGGAGGGACCCGAACCCCAAAGCATCCGTGTGCCTGCTCTGTCTCCATCGTGGTGCGATGGATAACGCTCTGCCGCTGGAAGCGGAGCTGGAGCACCAGTGGCTACTCAACACCTCCATGAATGAGTCCTCTGTGAACCAGTTCGTGCAGCCTCCGTGGCAGGTGGCCCTGTGGGCTGTCGCCTACGCCCTCATCGTGGTGGTGTCAGTGGTGGGGAATGTGGTGGTGATGTGGATCATCCTGGCTCACAAGAGGATGCGCACCGTCACCAACTACTTCTTGGTGAACCTGGCTTTTGCCGAAGCCTCCATGTCTGCCTTCAACACAGTGGTGAACTTCACTTACGCCATCCACAATGAGTGGTACTACGGGCTGCTCTACTGCAAGTTTCACAACTTCTTCCCCATCGCTGCTGTCTTCGCCAGCATCTACTCCATGACAGCCATTGCCCTGGACAGGTGAGCTCTGAGCGTCAAACTCCAAACCCTCCCTGGCACCCAGGTCTGCCTCCACCTGGGTGCTTTGCTCAGCTCTATCTGATCTCCGGTCATGGGAGGACATTGCAATTAAAAATAAAGCTCGTTTTGGTAAAAGAAGGCTAGAAATAATCCCTCTCCCTGCACTGGTTGCAGGTGGCTTTGGGAATCCTTTGTCAGGTCTGTGAAAGGAGCTCGAGAAAAGGCTTTGTAACCCTCGTGCATGTTGGTAGCGTGTCTTGGGTGTGCATTTGTAGCATCACTGTGCTCTCCCTTCCCAGCTCCTCTGCAGAGCCATCTATTCCTTTTCCAATCTCCTCATTTAAAAGTGAACTCGATATTTAGCACAAAATGGCATCACCTCATGACATAAAATACATGCCTGTGTCAGATGTGCCTCTGCTGCGCTGCAGGAGCTGTTTCGCGTTGCTTGATCCTGGTTGGGAACCATCTAAGGACCCTCGGAGAGAGGCTTGGGCTCGGGCAAGGCATCTTGACTTGGTGAGCGTGTCGTCGCGTTGCGTGCTGGCACATCCCCCCAGGCAAACCCACCTTGATCTTATTAATGGGCATTAAAGGGGAGAGGTAGGTGCCGGGGATTTCTCTGTAGCCAGCACAGCTTAGTTAGTGGGTTTTTTTCACTGCCTGGTTTCTGCCGGTGCTGCTCGATGGCCGGGGATTGCCAGCAGAGTGAGATCCCACTTGCGTTTTGCCGCGATCAAAAGTTCAGCAAAAGCTGTCTTTTTCACTGCAGAGTGATGAGCCAGGGGTCGAGGGACACAAAATAGCTGTGCAGCAAGCACCTCCAGCATGCAGCTCCCCTCTCTTCTCTTCCCCTCCAAGAAATCTTTTATTTGATGGCATTTTCACACCAGCACTGGAGAGAAAATGAGGCTCTCAAACAGCTTGCAATTCCCTCTTGAGTACCAGCATTTCAAGCACAACAGATTTTTCCAATGCAACATATTTCCCAAAGACAGCTCAGGTCTGCAATGCCTCTTTTTGGCCCTTCTTCCCAGGGAGTAAAAGACATTTTGGCTGGGGATACATGCGAAGGGGGGGAGGAGATTTGCACTGCCGTATGCCAGCACATTTTGAGCTGATGTCTAAGTGCTGCACAAACTGGCACGGAGAAATTACAGTGCTACCACAACTCACGCACTGACAGCTTGGGAAACAGAGCTTGAAATGGATGATGCTCTCCAAGTCGTTAAAAACAGGCTTGGGTTTTGTTTTCCTCTGGAGTGGTTACAAAACCCATTCCCCAAAATAAATCGGACATAGCTAAGCTCTCATACTGGAGACTTGAGGAGAATTAAGACAATAACAGATAAAAAGAGGAATACTACCAGCATGGCTCTGTTCCTACCCAGTGGCGTTGCTGGCTCTGTTTCAGGAGCATCTGCATTTCAAGGATATTGGGGATCAGCCAGCAAAGCCCCTTTCAGGTTAGGATGAATTAGAGATATTTTTTTAAATAGTTTGGTTTTTAGCCCTCAGTCCACACCCCAGAATAACCAGAAAAGCAAAACTGCTGGGGAAGCTGGAAGAGCATGTGTAAAATGGGGAGCAAAGGCAGGTCTGCGAGCCTGGGGTTGAATTTTGGTGGTGGTGGTGGGAATTGGCATTTCCAGCTTTCTTCTTGCATCTGCAAACCCTTAACAGAGGCTTGGTTTTCCCATGGCTGGGCTGCAAAACCCGTGCGTCTTGGCTTCCCACCAAGAAGGACCCAAAAGAAGGTGCAGCCTCGGTGTGCAAACACCTGCACAGAGCTACCTGCTGCTTTTCTTGGCCCCAAATTTCCATGGAGGTGAGAAAATTGAAAGGTGAAGGCAGTAAAGCCCATCCTCTGCCCCTCCAGGCAAGCAGCATGCCACAGCATCTCTGAGCGCTGGAAAATCGCTTGTTTCCCTGTGTCTGAGACCTGACTATAGTAACTTAAATGCATGAAATGCAGGAACCGGTTCCAGGAACCTAAAAGGGAAGAATTTGTCCTGGCAAGCAGCAAAAAACTGTGAGGGAATAAGCAAAGCAAGTACCTGAATTCAGAGCAGCAGAGCCAGGTAAGCTCAGCAAAATGGGCTCTATTCACAGCCAGGACGTATCTGAAATAAAACCTGACTGCAATTCTGATTTTCATCAAAAACTAGGAAAGGAAAGCAGAACTGAATGTGCCTCATGTTCCCAAAGTGCATTAAGCCATCTATCAGAGCGGTTGGATACAGAGTCTGAAGGATTGGAGGAGTGTCGGTCTGCAGATTGCTCCCCTAAATCATCTCCACTTTTGCTTTCTGTAAGCAATTTCCAGAACGGAGGATATGAAACCGCCTTGGAAAGAGTTGGCACAGCTGTAACAGGCATTGAGAGAGCAAGTGGAGAAGTGGGTTTGATTCTCCCAACGGCTTTTTTGCAAGACTTGCTATGGGTTTGTGCAAGAAAAAAAAAGCTTTTGCTTGAAGCTAGACCATCCGCTCTTTCACCAGGACCTATTTCAGCCTGGGCACAACTGCTCTGAAAAAAATAAAAAGTTAATCCTATAACAAGTATTATTCTGAACCCTGCAACAGCAGGAAATTCAGGAGTCGAGGCTGGCAGCTGGTAATGTCTGCTCAGGAAAAGCCATGATGCTGCTTCTCAGCATCCTGCAGAAGTGGAGGCTAAACAGCTCACCTTGGCACTACAAAATTTGCCATGTCTTTCGTTTTCAGGCATATCAGTGCCAGAGCACATTGCATGTCCTTTTCCAGCTTCAAACTCTCCTTATGAATTAATTCACTTGAAAGAGAGAGACAGAAAATCCTGGGTTTTTTCCAATCTGCCAGGAAAAGTGAGAGCCCAGCAGTACCCATGGTGAGTCCCAGCCACCCTTAGAGGAAAAAAAAAATCCTCTGGACATCCCTAAGAGGCTGTTGCAATATCTGTGGCACATGGGATAGAGCAGTGTTAGATAAACCATTGACATTTTCTCTCTCCTGCACACGTGGATTCATTTCTGAGCACCACTGCTCGTCCACACTGTTAGCAAAATTTGGATGAAAGAATGAGTTTCTGTGATAACGGACAACCCGGAATGCAGCTGAAGGTGAAGATTCCAGATTACTTGCAGAATCAGAAAAAAAAAAATCATCTTTAATCTCAAAACTTTGTGAGCTAAGTTGAAAACACCGCATCCTGAACGAATCCTGATGAGAAGGGTGAGAGCCCTGCCGTGAACTCAGGGTGAAGACCGACTGTGCAGCTTGGGCTATTTAATACGAAGTGATTTCCCTCTTTCTGCAAAGTGTCCTCCTCTCTAGAGAAGCTGTAAAAATGACATATGGTGGGACTAATCTCCTGCAACTCCTAGACCAACTTTCTGCTTTTGCTCATTAAAAGACCCCCTTCTCTGACCTCCACCAGCACAAATGCTGCCAAGACCAGCACGCAGGGCTGGCCAATCCAATTGGGATCTTCTTTATATTTCCTTTTTTATTTCCAAATGGGTTATCAAATTATATTAGGCATCTTAAGATCTATCAATGTGTAAGCAGGAGCTGCAGAAGAAACATCAAATCTGCGAACCTTCATTCACCACTGCGACTCCTAAAATTGCTAGTCTGCAGCCGAGACCTGGTAATATCTCCCCAACCCCGTATTATCTGCAGCAGAAAAACTGGCTTGGAAAATTATTTACTGCTTGCAAGCTTGAACTCTCAGGTTAGATGAACCAGCTGAATATCAGGAACATATTCACCAGCTCAGTGACCCCATGCCTTCCCCAAGAGGTGATTACTGCAGAAAGAAACCCTCCGGAGAGGACAAATTACATCAGCGCACAGATTAATTAGTCATTTACACCCTAATATAGCACCAGGGTTTTGTTGTTTTTTTTTTTTTTTAATCTTGACTTAATGGACTTCTGGGGTTTAGAAAGCAGGACTTTGATCTGTGCCCAGCGCTGTGTAATCTTGCTCTGCTGGGATGTAATTTGGAAGATGGAAAAGCAAGGGGAAAGCAAAAGGAGCCCAGGGTTTAGGGCTGGCATCCCCTGCACCAGCCACCCTGCGGCATTGCCTATGCATCAGCTAGCAATAACCAAAGTAGCTTTTTTGCATTCCTGAAAAATGAAGCATGACTGAACACAGCAAAAACCCTACGAAGCTGCTGGATACCCAGCACGGAGCTAGCTCGAAGCAGTGATTTCCCAGCTGGGGTTAGAAAGCAGAGGGATGGGGAGGGACAAGGGAACATCTTAGTAAGGGGTCACTCATAAAGGCTGGTTTATGCCTATGCCCCCAGGAGTAGTCTCTGATCTGATGGGTGTTAACTGGAATTAATTCCCCCCAATAGCCACTAGATATGAATTCAACCTGTCAAAAAATAAATTACATCTTTTTTCGCCCCTCTCCTTTGAAAAGAAGAGGGGACTTGAAATTCCCGTGGCAATAAATACAGAACTAAGATGAATTAGTGACTGTTGGCTGGGGGATGCAGGAGACTCAGGTTTTAGGGGTGATCGTGGTGCTCATCTGCAAGCTGGGTTCTGCCACAAAGCCACCACAGGAGTTTGAGGACCTCTGGTGAGACATTTGGGTTATCCTTTATTTATTCCTTAATTAATTCTCACTTCCTCAGTGGCCCAGTGGTTTCTCTGCTGGTAGGAAACCTGCTTGATGAAGACGCTTTGCCGAGCATTGAGCATCACTCAGGTCTCAGGACGCACGCTGTCCGTCCCTCGGTTTGGACGGACACTGGTTTATGTCGAAGCAATAAATAGGAGGAATCAGCTGCTTGCGGTGCCTTCGCCCCCAGCATTGTGTTTCAAGCATGCAGGGCTCAGCGAACCTCCTCGGCTGTCGTCCAGATACGAGGTATTTGGGGCCAGCACGATGAGGCCAAGCTTCGCTATGCAAACCTGTTCGAGGGACAGTATTTTTGCATCCACACTGTTGCAATGCAATCCTCGCAGAAAGCAAAAAGGCAGGCTTTTCTCTATGGAGAAGCTTTTAATTTCTTGAGTAGGAAAGACTCAGAGCCGTGCTGGAGGTTTTTCACCCACCTCATCCAGGGCATCTGCTCTGATTTGATTGCAAACTCCCCTGGGACTGATTTCAGGGTAGGAAATCGTTGCGCAGTAAAATGCGCCGCACAAACTCTGTGTCCTCTTGATTACTCATCTCTTATCTGTCGTATCCTTATTACTTAATGAAGCAGATAAGGAAACTCTGGGATGAAAGATGCTTCATAAATTTTTGCTATTATATTAATCTCATCTCCATGAGGGTGGAAACAATCGTTATGTCAGTTATCCAAGCAGACTCCAGATTTCCAGATGCAATTAATAGATGGCTACACTGCCTCGAATGCAATATCTAGTTAATAACTGATACGCTTGGAGCTACCCTGGTACGACGTCGTACTCAAACGCTATTGTGTAGTCATGGTAATGCCCCCTAAAACCACAATAAAATATCTAAACAGCAGTAAACAGCATTACCAATGTCATCAAAGAGCGTCTGGTGTAAAGTTGTGTGCTTTAGTGCCAAGCCCATTAAATGTGGAGGATTTAAAACATGAAACATGGTGGGAAAGGTGGAAGGAAAATGCAGCTGCACGGGCACTGGGTCTCTCCAGCAAGGAGCTGGGCAACTTTGCAAAACTTAACGATGGTTTGTACTCGAACACTGTGCTTCCATCCAAAAGGAGAGAAATGGCAGGTCACTTTATTTTGAGGAAAAGGTATCATTAAGTCTTCCAACCCAACATCTTCTGCAGGCAAATCACCCCATTCCCGGTGCTACCCCCACGCACTGCCTGCACGAGGAACAAAACCTTTCCCTAACACAGGAAATCTGCCCTTAAATCCTCAACCAAGAACCAATTCCTTAGGAAAAAATAGGACTTTCAGACCCCACAGCAGTTTGTCAACTGTCGCAGCGGCGAAGGCAGGATGCTTACATAGGGACGTGCTCCTCGTCCTCACCTCCCGCGAACGACCATCCCCAGCAAACTGCAACACCCCATTTTTTATGGATGGGAAAACCGCCCTCTTGGATGGCAGAGAAAAAAATAAATAAATCTCTCTAATAGGATACAGCATGTTAGGGAGATGGGCAGAGTGGGGCCACAGAGGCACTTTGCGAAGAGAAATATGAGCTAATAAGCTCATTAGCCTTGCTTTCAAGAGCCTGCTTCTCGCCGGCGTGGCCGGGATCTGCGTGGCCGAGCCGAGGAGGGCAGCAGCTTCCCGACACTTAAGCTCTGATTGATTCCTTTTGTGCCCAGCGCTGCAAAAACATGCACAGAGCCAACCACCTGCCAGCACCTTACAGACACCCTGGGCATTGCAGATGCATCCCGTGCCCATGCTCTGCATTTCCATTTGAATGCAAACTTGTTCGTATTAACAAAAAATAGATTAGCAAGCTTTTTTTTCTTTTTTTTTTTTTTCTGAAAGGCAAAGTCACGATTGACTGGTCATTTTTTTTGTTGTTTAGCAAGCATTCGCTTGCTCGGAAGGAAGGATAGGAAGGATTTATTTTAGGTTAGCTGAAACCCCACTGTAGAAATGCATCACAGGAAAGGGTTTGGCTCAAAACTGAGCAGAATTGCCAGAAAGCAAACTGGGTTTTTGAGACCTGTATTCTGGATACAAAAAAAGATCCTGTGGTAGCCAAAAAAAAACCCCTCAAAAAAGACAGACATATACACAAACCTATTGGGTAGAGAAACGTGGAAAGTCCAACCAACCTGCAAGGAAATTAGAGTTATTTGAGCACAGCAGACCCAGTGCTGGAAGAAGGCAAAAAAAAGCGGCTTTGCTCCCTGTACTGATACTTTTCCACCCCAACAGAAGCAAGACGGCGGCTGTCACCCAGGCTAAGGCAGCCGCAAAATCACATTCTCTGCCTTCTGTCTCTCCTCTGTTTGATTTTGTATCAAATGTTCTTGTCGAGGAGAGGAGGGGGGAAAAAAAGGAAAAAAAAAAAAAAAGGAAGCAGTTATTAAAATGTTAGGACAATTTTCTGCTTAGTGATACAATTATCATATAATTATACGATATTTTAATATGAAATAATGGTCTAATTATTTTCAGGATGTTTGTACATTTCCATCCATCTCCAGCATTTTTATGGTCTGTAATAGCAGCTCCTCCAAGCAGCCTAGACCCTTTTTATTATTTTTTTCCTGCTCCGTCAGAGCCCCTGTGTGGGACAACTGTTGTTATTCCCATTTTTAATCCTGATGGGCAGCTGAACCCAGAACATACCCAAGGGAATATTTCAGAGGTTGCTCAGGACCAATGGATTGGGAATTGCTGCTGAAAAATAAGATTTAGGGCCAGTTTTCTGCTAGTTTGCTCCATCCTCCCTCCCTGACCCTGTCCTTGCAATGCCAGCGTGGTTGGATGAATTTTGCCATCTCCTTTCCACCATGAGACAGAGTTCCAGACAAGTTGATGGCAGTTGGAAAGGTCTCTGGGTGATGCCATTGGGGTTTAGTTCATCGTTACGGTGGTTATTTGGATGTTTTATCAACCACGAGGGCTTCTGCAGCTGCAACGGGCTTTAAACCGATGAGAAAAGTCCACTGACATGCACTGGCAGAAACAAGGTGGGAGATGTAAAAGCATTTTTGGCTGGTTGCAATCAAGCGCTGGCTTTGCTTTCTGGAGGTCTCAGCCTCAGATGTTTCTTCAAGCAAGTATTTCAACAGAAATGGCCCAACCTTTGTGGAAATCCCTCGTTTTCCACTGTTTGCATGCTTGAGTTCAACCTTGCTGCTTGGGAGTGTAAGCTCAGAGTAACCCACTCTGAACCCCACAATAAAGCTCCCTCAAACCTCATCCAGCTCAGCAAACCTGCTAACAAGGGGCTCAACCAATGCCAGGTATTTGAAGGATGAGGAAGAGGATGGAGACAAGTCCCCATGGGGTGCCTGGAAGCCAACCACAAGTACGATAAGGAAGAAATAAGAAACACAGATGCAGAAAACAGGAGACCTTGATGCATCACCAGCGGCTGTGCCAGAGCAGCGCCAACACCCTTTGCCTTGGCTCTTTCTAACCAGCTTCGATTTCAAGCACCACACATTTTTTCAAGGGATAATTATCAGGTGGATCAGGTGGATTTTTCAGCTGCACAAAGCCAATAAGGTTTGGTACCCTGAGGCAGAGGAAGAGTTGGGGCAGTACCTCCTGCGTATTTATATATTAATCCCTATGTCTTTGCTCTGCAAGGGGCCACCCGAAAAATGAAACACAGGGAGTATTTGCCATCTAGGAAAAAAATAGAAGAAAAAACTGTCCATCCTCTGCAAGGAGAAGGGATGAAGGGAGAAACAGAGGAGGCTGCAAACACCTCAGGTGATAACATGCAGAGTGATGCAATGTTTCTCCTTTTCCCGAAGCTTGACATGGAGCAGGGGGGAAATAAAATAAAAAATATGCGATGTTCTCACTTAATCCTTACAGCACTGCTGGCTGCTGCCTGCTTTGCAAAAACAGATTCGCAGAGGGATAAATTCAATCCACCTCATCACCACTGGAGCTTTCCTCACCTATGTTGACTGATGTTCCGGGGAAAGAGCCTGGGAGCTGGGCAGATACAGGTGGCATCTCAGATCACGCATCCTATGCCAGTCCAGCACTCTTATTTTTGGTTCTCCTCCTGTAACACTTGGCACTGCGATCTACCACAGAAATCTGATTTTGCGTGGGTGCAAAACTACTGGGTGCTGCCAAAGTGGCTGCTGCCAGACAGCAGCATCACGGCTGGCTTTGTACAAAATGGTCTTTGCAGAAACAGCCGGTTGCATTAGCGAAGCTGGTTTTCAGCTAAAAGTCAATGAATGTCTCAAAAGGGATTGAAATCTCAAGGGTAAAATACTGCAATTAGAGTATTGGCCAGGGAATCCTCCATAATTCGATGGACTATTCGATGCTGTTTGCATTGTGTGGAGTGAGGGGCTGCCAGGATGCATTAAGGGGGTGTCAAAAGTACAGCCCTATCCAAGGGAGACTTAAAACAGCCCCCAAAACTGCAACATTGGAGCTTTCCAGCCTTGATTTTTCATTTTCCCACCTTGCAGGTACATGGCTATCATCCACCCGCTGCAACCCCGGCTCTCGGCCACCGCCACCAAGGTGGTCATTGGTGTTATCTGGCTTCTGGCTTTCCTGCTGGCTTTCCCCCAGGGTTACTACTCAGTGATGGAGGAGCTACCAGGGCGGCTGGTGTGTCTGGTGGAGTGGCCAGAGCACAGCACTAAAGCATACGGAAAAATGTGAGTTGAACTTTTCTGTTAGTGGGGACAAGTCACCGTGCAGAAAAAAATGCAAAAAATGTATAAAATGGAAGTTAGGAAGGATGAGAATGGCTCAAAGCTCCTTGGGATGGGGAAATCCTCCTCCTACCCTAGCGAGGGCCAGTGCTATGGAGCTGACGGTAGAAAAATCTCCATCGGTATCATCTTGGGGCATATTAAGGTTAATAAGGTGATTTTAGGGCTGCTTGTGGTCCAAACATTGCCCTGTGCCATGCCATGCTCCCAGCCCTTTTTGGATGCTCATGTAAAACTGCAGTATTTTGGCTGTGGGGATGAGGTCTGCATTGCCTCCAGGGGCTTATTCAGGTACGGCTCTAGTTTTTGCAGCACCTTACCTGCAACCCGTATCTCTAAAGGCTTCCTGGGGCGAGAGTTATTCCTGCCAGAGGTAAATAGAGTTTTACCAGGGGTATTTTGGACAGACAATAACAGGGAAAAAAAACGGTTTGGGATTTACTGAGTCCAAATACCCCAAAATTCACTCAACTGCTTAAAAAACAAGTGACAAAAGGGGGCTCCGCAGCATCAGCTCAGGCTGGGAGGACTCAGCAGGCACCTCTCT